TCTAAATCTTATGTAAGAGGAAGAGGTACAGGTTAATATAGCTGGGAGAGAGCCAGATGTAGAATCCATCCATCCATCCATTCTTCCATTCACCCATTCATTCATTCAGACCACCATTTCTTGGGCATCTACACTGTGCTTAGGGAAGGGCATACAGAGATGAATACAGTCATCCTGCTTTCTAGAAACTCACAGCCTAGGGGAGGGAACAGACAGACACGGGTCACAGTTAGGACATAGTTTAAGCTACACAAGACAGACCAGTGGCTCAAATGAGGTAAGTTACTTCACTCATGTGAGAGTCTAGGCTTCTCTGACAACTCAACTCCACAAAATCACAAGGGGCCCAGATTCCTTCTGTCTCGTTGCTCACTATATGCAGGAGTTGGAAGCGGAGCTGAGAAACAGGCTGTGATGCCAGTGACCATAAAGCCTGGGAGAGAAATAAGGAAGAGTCTGTGATGCCTGGAGGAGATTCTGGTAGGCCCCCAGACCTGGCTTCCTTGGGTGAGGTTTCCCAGTTGGGGCTACTGTGTGGGAGAGTTGGACCTGTTTAAAGGACTAGGCGTGGAGAAGCTAGTGGGAGCAGAGAAATCCAGAAGGAAAAACAGATCGGAAAGAAACTAAGCAGGTGCAATCTACAGGACCTGATCCCAGCTGGATGCAGGGGGCAAGGAAGAGGAAGGAGACACACATCAGCCTGAGCCGCAGGACAATGCCTGTGCCCTCCACCAAGGGAATGAAAGCCAGGTAGTGCTAGGGGAGCTGGCTGTGAGGTGAGGTGGTGGGGGAGTGCCAAATGGAGCTGCCAGAGCAGCTGGGCATGGGTGAGAGATGCTGGGGGGTGTGGGCTGTGGGGTTTCATGGGAAAGTCATCACCAGAGATGGAAACGAGCTTCGGAGGACAAGTTCCCCCAACTGCCCTGTGGGCAGTGCAGTCCTTGAATATATATCCCCATCCCTTGGGGAGCTTCTATAAACTGGATGGGAACCTTACCTGTGCCCCTACTCCCACCACAAAGAGATTCTGACTCGGTAAAATGGAGTGAACCCCTCTCTGTGGCTCTAGGTTCTTTTACTTGCAAGAGAAGAAACCCAGCTCAAACAGGTTTGAACAAAAATGAGTCCTGTAACTGAAGAGTGCAGGCACGGATGAGCTTAAGCACAGTTTGATCACAGAGTTTAAATAACGCCTTCAGGAATCAGACTCTTTCCACCTCTGCTTGCCTCCTGTGTTGGTTTCATTCTCAGGCAAGATTTTTAAATAACAGAGGCAAGATACCCCCTGTGGTTCAGTCAGTTCAGTCGCTCAGTCTTGTCTGGCTCTTTGCGACCCCATGGACTGCAGCACACCAGGCTTCCCTGTCCATCACCAACTCCCGGAGCTTGCTCAAACACATGTCCATCAAGTCGGTGATGCCATCCAACCATCTCATCCTCTGTCATCACCTTCTCATCCTGCCCTCAATCTTTCCCAGCATCAGGGTCTTTTCCAATGAGTCAGTTCTTCACGTCAAGTGGCCAAAGTATTGGAGTTTCAGCTTCAGCATCAGTTCTTCCAATGAATATTCAGGGCTGATTTCCTTTAGGATGGACTGGTTTGATCTCCTTGCAGTCCAAAGGACTCTCACGAGTCTTCTCCAACACCATAGTCCAGAAGCATCAATTCTTCAGTGCTCAGCTTTCTTTATGGTCCAACTTTCACATCCATACATGACTACTGGAAAAACCATATCTTTGACCAGATGGACCTTTCTTGGTAAAGTAATGTCTCTGCTTTTTAATATGCTATGTAGGTTGGTCATAGGACCTTTGTCGGCAAAGTAATGTCTCTGCTTTTTAATATGGTGTCTAGGTTGCTGTCTAGGTTGGTCAGCCCCCTGTGGTAGCTGATACTCTTTCAGAAAGCCCTTTACAAAGAAATAGCATTCCTTTCCCAATCATTCCAGCCTGATTCTCCTTAGTCTGAACTTGGCCACAAGCCCATCTCAGGCCCAACCACTGTAGCCAAGGGAGATGGAGATGCTAATTGGTTAGATTAGCTCACATACCCTAGAGACAGGAATGGGGTCAACCCTGCCAGAGCCACAGAGACTCAGCTTGGCATCATTGGCAGGGTTTTAAGGTACAGAAAACGGGTGAAGGATGGACTTCCTGGCAGAGGGAACTGCAGGAGCTAATATGTAGAAGCAGAAAAACACAGAAAATACTTTAGGAACAGTGAAGCTTGTATGCACAGGGGTATTTTCTTCTTAGCTCTCCATTCTGGTACCCACAGTATCTATTTTTATCTCAGAGTGTAATCACGACCACAGATTAAATTCAAACTCTTTGCACTAACACTGGAAGTCTATCTTCCTGCTCCAAACAAGAAATCCTGTTTTCTAGAGAGGTTGATTAACTCCAGCATTGACAGAACATTGATCCAACGTTTACAGAGAATTCCCAAGTTTCCCTGAGTCCCCCTGGATGCCTCAGGGTTCACACAGGTCATTTCTGAATGCAGAGTTAGCTAGGACTGCTGCACCCTCCCCCTTCAGTTCCCAATCACAGAGGCTGCCCCAGCCCCCATATCTTTTAGGATTCACTGCCTTGGCATTCCTGAGGGCCCCTAAAGTCTTGAAAGGGAAAACATCAGCTTGTGGAATAAGAAAGGGAAGAAACTACTCTCCTAGTTCCCTTCCTCCATGTTCCTTACCCTTGCAGGGGGTTGGGAGGTTGGTGATGTGGAAGGGGAACCAAATCTACATCCCTGGCTGCTGCTGCTGCTAAGTCGCTTCAGTCGTGTCGGACTCTGTGCGACGCCATAGGCGGCAGCCTACCAGGCTCCTCCGTCCCTGGGATTCTCCAGGCAAGAACACTGGAGTGAGTTGCCATTTCCCCTGGCATGTATCTCTTAGTGCAGAAATTCTCTAGCGCCCTCTGGTGGTCACGAACACTACTGTGTTCTCTCGGGGTTTATTCTGAACAGCCCAATTGAGACATCCATCACAGGGTAAGGCAACAGGCACACTTACCCTATATCCTATATTAAGCAAATGCTAGAGCTGGAACGGACCCAAAGCTCCTGGCCACCAGTCCTTTCTTCAGCATCACTTTCTATCTGCGGCATCACTTTCTATCCCTGTAGTCCTCCCTAGTGGCTAACTGGCCTGGCAGGCAATGTTATAACATTTATTATTTATGATGTAAGTACTTTTATTACTGTGTTGCTTTATTAAATACACCTGCCACACTTTGAGGCGTGCCATGATACTGGATTATATGTTAGTATTGATCAGGTAAATATATAAAATGTACAGTTGGCAACCCTGTTATTCTAAAATTGAATCACAGAAATGCTCCTGTCACCATACCCACTACCCACCTCTGTTTTACATTTCAGGAACCAGTCTTTTATCCCCCCATCCCTTCTCGAAGTAAGGGAAGTAAGCTTTCTCCATAAACTCAATCCCACCACCTCCTCATTCGCAGGAATGTCAAGAGGTGCAAGGAGATAAAGTCTCTTTGGGATACAAATGTTACTTAAAATGGGAGAGGTGACAGGAGAAGAAAGGAAACTACAAAATGGCCTTCAGGCAGCTTTCTCTACTGGACCACAGGAAATGATAGCGGAAGGGAGCCAAGGAGAGAAAGGCTCACCTTTAATGGCTGCAATGGTTGGGGCAGGCTGGTCTGACAGCGGAGGGCTGGAATGAGTCTCAGACCCACAGCAGGAGGGGTCAGGACCGGCAGGTGGGACGATTGGCTGGTCTATTGGATACCCTGAAATAACCGTCTGCTCAGCTTGTATTCACCTGTACCTGGTCCTGAAAGAGAGACAAGGGCACCAGTTCTGCTGCCCCACCCCCCACCCCAGAGGGTTGACCTTTCACCCCAGAGTAAAGCTGTGATTGGTGAAGGGAGCCCCACCAAAGGCTGTGGGGCAGCTGGAGGTGCTGAGCGGAGTCTGGGGAGGAAGAGAGGGGATGTGACATGACAGGGGGTGCTCAGCAGCAGCTGAAGGGAATCAGACAGTCCTGCTCAGGAGATAGACATCCATCTAGATCCCTGACAGTAACTCAACTGGGTTCCTTGGAGGATCACAAAGACTGGCTGTGCTGACATGTCAGAAAGCAGAGTGATGCCTGGACCCTTGACTTAGCAGGAAGGCAAAGAGGACCCTCCGTGTGGATTGGGAGAAAGGGGGAGAAGCAAGCCCCAGCTCTGCTCCACACCCCCTTCCTGCCTATAAATAATTCCAAGTGTCACTTCAAAGGGGACCGGGAGCGCCGGAGAGGGGCTCCCGTGGCCGGTGGGTTGGGGCAGCAGGTCCTGCACACCACGCCCCCCACCCCGGGCGAGTTTGCATAAATAAACAAATCCAAGCCGTCGGCCCCGCAGGAGGTGGAGGAGGAGAGGGGAGGAGGAGAAGGGAGGGGGGCGGGAGAGATTAGTTTGGGAAGTAGCACGGATTGCTCATCCGATCCGTGCAGCCGCAGCTCGTGTGTCAAGTTACAGAGGCGCCGGAATCGGCCCCAGCGCTCCTCGGCAGCGGCCACGACCCACCTCTGCCCATGGGGCCCTCCATGTGCACCCCTTCGCCCCGGGACTGAAACTGGCTCGCCCGGGCGACGGGAAACACCAAGAAGGACAGACAGTGCTGAACCAACTCCGGACTGCAGATACTTGAAGGGAAAGACGGGGCAGAAAGGAGAGCCGGCCAGATTTCCCTAACTTTCCTGGACTTGGAACGTTCTTCGAAGCAACTATTTTTTTTCACCTGGGTGTACCCCCCGATCACTGCTGGTTGTATTTTTTTTTTTTTTTTTGCTCCCCCAGCCCCCCTCCAGCTGCTATTTTTTCCATCCTCTTTGCCGAGAGCAAAGGAAAGGGACGTTTTTCCAGCGACACAAGCCTTTTCCCCCACTGCCCCGGAGCTTGAGATCGCGTTTTGGGGCAGCGGCTCTCGCCTTTATTTATTCTATTTATTTATTTATTGGTTCTCAAGACGCGAGGGGATGGTAGCGGAGCGCTCCGGCAAAGCGACAGCCGCCGGTGCCCGCGGCCCTGGGGAGCTGGGCGCACCCGGGACAGTGGCTCTGGCGGTGGCGCCGGCGGAGCGCTGTGCTCGGCTGCCGAGCCCTGGGTCGTGCGGGCTGCTGGCGCTGGCTCTCTGCTCGCTGGCGCTCAGCCTGCTCGCCCACTTTCGGACGGTCGAGCTGCAGGCCCGGGTGCTGCGCCTGGAAGCGGAGCGTGGGGAGCAGCAAATGGAGCCGGCTATTTTGGGACGAGTCAACCAACTGCTGGATGAGGTCTGTGCTCTTTGTTGCTGCCTTTTATTCCCTCCCCGCGGCGCCCCCTCGCGCAGCCTCCAAACTTTGGACCAGCCAGTGCCCGTGGGCTCTCTCTCCGCCGCGCGGTGCGCCCTGGCCTCGCCCCAGTTGTTTGAGGGAGGGATGGGGCCAGGGACGGACGCTGCCCTGCCAGTGGGCAGGAGGACCTGGGCGGCTAGCGCCGGACCCCTTGGCTCCCGCCTAGAGCAGGCGTCCTCCACGTTCCGCGCCGGGAGCGCCCTGAGCGCGCGGGGCAGGTGGAGGAAGGCTAGGCGCGGAGGCGCGCAAAGGCGGCCAGGTCCATTTCTCCCTCCCGGCTCCTCGCCAGGGCGGTGTGAGAGCCGCCCAGCGCCCACGCGGCGGGACTTGAGCCCGGTGGCCCCGGGCCGAGGCTTGCTGGGCTCCCGCAGCCCTCCCCATCCATCCCTCGACGATCAGTGCTGCCTTTTATTGCCATATTCTGTTAGGAAGAGAGAGGAGTGAGTTATTCCAGGGGTTGAAGGGGACAGGGAGCAGTCCTTGCAGGAGGTGGTGGGCTGGTCTCTGCCCAGACCGCTAGGGCCCAGGTGTTGGTTGTTTCGGTTCTGCTGTCCTTGGGCACAAATAAGCCCTTACGGTCTTGTTCTGAAGCTGTATTTGTTGTCCCTGGTCCCCTGGAATGGTCCCCAACATTTTGTGTCTGTGTGTCTTTCCGGGAAAAGGATGCCGAGCTTTCTCCCATTCCCAAAATATCCTTGAACCTCAGTGTGTTAGAAGCCACTAGTGTCTCTTAGCCAGGACAATCCCGAGAGTCATGAAGAGACCCACAGTCCACAGAAAGTAGGGACACACAGTCTCAGGGGTGCCACCCGACTAGCGACTGGCCAGGAGACCATGAGGCCAGGTGACATCTGAGGATGTGGACAGCTCCGGAGACCCAGGGCCTTGTATGAGGGGAGGATCCACAGATAAAGGCCACGGCCGTCTGGGAAGAACTCCTGGAACAGACTGACCATGGACAGTTTCCGAGGGGAAGAACTGGGGGTGCATCTCTTCCTTAGTAGGAGGTGGTGTGTGAAACAATGAAGAGCAGGAGGTAGAGCCCAGCTTTTATCCCCACTCTGCTACTTAGAAGCTGTGCCACCTGAGCAAACACCCTAACCCCTCTGAGCTCCACTCTGCCATCACAGTGGTGGTGCTGATGGTAAACGGGAGAGCCCAGCTCTAACTGCAGCTGTGCCGTGGCCATACTGGCACGATGCCCCAGCACCCCACAGCCAGGCTCTTCTCGGTGCCTCTACCAGGCAAAGGCTGGCACTTGCCAAAGCAGCCCTCCAGGGCAATCACGGAGAGCGAGGTCAGAAGGCCAGAGCAGAGCAGGTTTACTGATGCCAGAGGTGCACCCGTGACTGCTGCCGTCAGCTCATTCCCACGCCCTGCTGGGCCCCAGGGAAGCCGGAGGGCTCCATCAAGCCACCCACGGTCCTCTGGGACTCTGGGGGGAAGCCGGTGGACTCTGCAGTGCCGGCAGACGGCCTGTGCTGGCTGGTTGGCAGTGCAGAGGGAACTGCTGTGTGGTAGGGAGGGTGTTGGGACGTGAAGGCTGCCTCAGGTATCCCCGGGGTCCTGGCTGCTGAGGGACAAACATCTGACCCGGAGTGTCCTGCTCAGTTCCTCTCTCCATCATCTCCCCTTCCTGGCCCCTCCTGCTGGCCAGGGCGTGCCCCTGCCCTTTCCTCAATCCTGGCTTCCTCTGCTTAAGACTTAGCTAGGTCACGTCTCATGCTCTGAGGACCTTGGGCTGACAGTGTTATTATCTGCCAGGCTGAGCCTTCCAGTCTAAACTTCTACTGGCTGTCAGACCCCCATGTTACAGATGGGGGAACCAAGGCTCAGAGTGGGGCAGTAGATTTCCCAGGGTTACGTGGCAAGATCCTAGACTAGAGGAAGCTTTCAGGGACTCCGCCCCCAGTGCTCTCCCCAGGCTGTCTGCCACCTTCCATTGTCTGCCCTCATGCACTTATTCCGAAAGTGAACCTGAGAGCCAGCTGTGAGTCAGGCGTTGTGGGGCGGGGGGCACATTTCTGCCCTCTCAAGCTTACAGACAAATAGGACACAGAGAAGGGAGTGGACAGTGACCACATCATGCAGAAAAGGCTATGAGAATGAAAGCGGAGGAGGTCCAGGGCTCCTGATGGCGGTGGCTCCCTGGGAGAGTGATTTCTCACGTGAAGACTTACAGGGTGACTAGGAGGTTTCCAGGCAAATGGGGATGAGGATGGGGCAAAAGGAACAGCTTCTGGAAGCTGAAAACCAGAGAAAGAGACAGGTAGCCGAGGTCAAGAGGGGCCTTAGAGACACTTTGATCTTTGTAAGAGCAATGGGGAGCCATAGAGGGGTCTTGAGGAAGGCAGTGATGTACACAGAATGAGATGAAGAGCCAGGTAGAGCAGGGACGCCAAATAGGAGGTTAGTATGGACCAGCGAGGACAGTGACCTGGCCCGGGGCACTTGTGGAGACAGAGAGGAATGAATGGAAATGGCAGCGTCAGTGGTGGGACCTGAGGTCAGTAGCAGAGGGCGTTGGGACAGGGGGAGGGAGCGGTCCTGTGGGGGAGGGGGCAGGTGACCTGGTCTACATGGCGATGACCTCAGGAGCCCTCTCCTGGAGGGGCCTGCAGGCCAGTGGCTCTGAAAGGGACTCTCTCAAGGCAGCACTGTCCCGTATAGTAAGCACTAGTCACATGTGACTCATTAGACTTAAGTTAATTAAAATTAAATAAAATCTAAAATGTAGTTCCCCAGTCACAGTAAGCCACCTTTCATATAACTGCTCAATAGATACCTGAGTGGCCAGAAAGCAGGACAGTGCAGCCTTAGAATGTGGGCGTCACCGCGTAAAGATCTGTGGGATGATGCTGTGCTGGGAGCAGGCAGTGTCTGGGCCAGCAAAGGTGTTCAGGAGCACCTCCACGCTTTCCTCTCCTCCACCCTTTCCTCTCCGTGGTCTGTTCTCCCAGGTCAGAACAAAGAGCAGAGTGAGGAGAAAGGTGAGAACTGGGTCCAGTGGAAACTCCCAGGTGAGGACAGGGGGATGGTTTTGCTGTGGAATGAGTCTGTGAAATGGGTATGCAGAGGATTCCTGCCCACGAGGGCCCAAAGGCACCCCGTGTGCCAGGATTCCAGCTGGGCCTTGCCAGTCGTGTGGCCTCAGGCAAGCCACGACACACGCCCTCACCTCATATCCCTTCTCTGTGAAGCCCTGGCCCTGCCTTCGTCTTGGGGCTGCTGTGGGGCTCTCCGGAGATGGCAGATGGAATGTTGCACTAAAAGGTATCACCACATCAGGTCACAAGTGCTTCTGGAGAGCTCCCCGGAGCATGGGGCAGACAAAGGCAATCCATTCTAGAGCCGGTGAGCCTGGGTCAGTCCCTGGAGGATGGAGGAAGGGCCGTGGGCAGGGCCGTGCTGGGGAAGCTCACAGCCTGGGCAAGGGCCCGGAGGCAGGGGTCCAGGGGCACATGCTCACCACCCATCCCAGTGGGGAAATTAGCATGCTGGGGGTGGAGGCATGTCTGGGAGACAGGAGGAAGGGGGAAGGCCAGGCTGAGGGGACTCCACAGGAGAGAAGCCTGGAGTGAGGGGAGGCAAGGGCAGATGTGAGCAGAGGCTTCGATCTGAGTGATCTGAGCTGCTGGGAGGGGGGTGGGTCGCGGCCAGGAGAGGAGTGTGGGAGTTGGGAGTGTGGCTTCCAGACCGCAGCTCCAGCTCTGCCCCCACCAGCGCCTCTCTCCCGGTCCGGGACCCGTAATGAGCGCTCCAGCTGCCCGTTAGTTGATTTGCTTGCTGTGAGAAAAAAAAAAAAAAGGAACGTCCCAAATGGAGGAAATCAGATGTCACCTAGGGCTGGGCAGACAGTGTGCGACGACAGAGAAGTGGGTGGAATTTAAACTTGCCAAATCCATTTTACAGGCTGAGGGGCAGCAGGGGGGTGTCAGCCACCTTCAAGGTGAATGCTGAGGGAGGCCAGGCTGATTCCCCTTCCCCAACCATAAGAGTAACGGCAACTCTGATAGGAGGGTCTTGTGTTTATAGGGTTGTACAATGGCCAGTGCCTTGCACATTATCTCTCTCAATCCTCATGACTTCCCTAAGGATTGACATGCTCATTACCTCCATTTTACAGATGAGAAGACTGATATCACTGTACCTCCATCCCACTGTCTCTGATTCAGTCCTTTGGGTATTGATGGCATTTTCCACTCCAAGAATCCCCTGGGAGAGGAAGTGGTTGAAATTTCCAGGCTAAAATGTCGAGGAGCCCCAGGCAGACTCTTTCATCCCTAAAAATAATAATAACAACCCTTACAAGAGGAAAGCCTCACATTTATAGAGTGTGTACAGGAGCCCCTAACTGAGCTCTTTCCAGGGGCATTTGGAGGAGAGATCAAAGCAGTGGCTGAGAGACTGGGGCCCTGGATGGGGTCCTTGGGGAATGAAGCACTGAGATGGGGCAGGAGCAGGCTCTTAAACAGAGAATGTGTATGTGGCGAGAACTGTGTAGTATCCTGTGAGCATCCCGGGTGCCTGGGCCTCAGTTAATGGACAGACCTTAGATCCAGGTGTCCTCAGATGCAGCCGGCGCTCCTCTGAGTCAGTCTTAAAGCTACCCCTCTTTTCATGCTGTGAGTAAATGACTAGCCTTAAATGACTAGTTTTAATAGAGGAAAGGCCCTTAGAGACCCTCACTAGTCTAGTCCCCTCACTCTACTGATGAGAAAACAGGTCCAATGCTTCACACCAAGCATCAGATGAACCTGGAGGTAGGACCTCTGTCTCCAGCAGGCATCTCTCTTCCACACCACACCTTCTCCTTTCTGGACAATAGTATTTGTCTGGCCAAGTGGTGGCCAAGGCAAGGCAAATGTGTGCTTCAGTCTCCACTTCTTGGCCCTCAGTAGACATTATTAATCACTTGCCACACACTTTCTCACTGAGCT